CTAATTTTTGTGCCACTGTTGGTGAGTCTTCTTTCTGTTAATAGTGTTTAACTATTTTAAACATTGTATTTAAAGCATGCACAATGTGGATTTTCAAAACACGACTGAATCGTGGATCTCGTCTATTGATTATGTACTTTAGAATGGAACTACTACGTTATAAGGATGTTATTGTTTCATAATTGATCAATGGACCTACAAATATGAAAAAACCGCCTTTTTTTATTTTTTAAATGTATTATATGACTTTTTCTTATTCATTTAGGTATATACATTCTTCTTCTTAAGGTGCCTTCTCCATTACTGAAGGTTGGCTATAACTACAGCAAATTGCTCTCTATCTTGAGCTGTTCTTAGTATCGAATGTGTGTCCAAGCCTGTCCAGTCACTTACAGTATTGTGCGAATTATTGGAATCATAGGCTGTTTTAATGAAAAAACAGTTTATTTAGTAAAAAATTATATTTTGACAAAACTATAAAAGTAAACTTACATCATTCAGTAGGAAATATGTCTCCCTTTGGCAGCAATTACTGCTTTTACCCGTTTTGTCATTGAGATTCTATGAGTTTCTGAAATTTGTCAGATATCCTTTCATCTCGATACCAAACCTGAATGGCCGCTTCTATCATTTTTGTTTTAGTGGTACAGTCGATTTTTCGCAGTCTAGCTTTGCAAATGGCCCATAAATTTTCAATGGGGTTGAGGTCGGGCTAATTACCGGGCCAATCTAAAACATTAATCTTGTTATTTTTGAAAAATGCCATCATTTCCTTTGATTCGTGACAGGGAGCAGAGTCCGTTGAAGAATCGCTCCTCCTTGGGGTTGACATTTTTGGAGTTGTTTGTCCAAATACTTTTCCAACATGGATTTGTATTTTTGGCTGTTCATCATGCCTTCAATTGGCACCAAAGATCTAACTCCCATGTATGAAAAACATCCCCAAAACATTTTCTTGTGAATATTGAAAAAATGAAAAAAAATTCACAGTGATTCCATTAATTCACACAATACTGTACATTCATCAATCAGGAGCATTTTCTTCTTTCTGGACCTCTTTTTCCTTCCACTTTCCCTTTCATTATAACTCATAGGAGTTGTATTTTTCTCCTCTGTAAATATGTCTTAGATAACTCGTTTTTCTGTTTTTTACAATATTTAGGAGTTCTCTCTACGTACCCATTTTTCTTAGTAGCTCGTTGTACTATACGCCTTATACTTGAAATCCCCAGAGTCCATGTTTCCACTCCGTATAGCAATATGGAATAAATAAACGTTTTTACAAATTTATATCGGATATCCAACGATAACGTAGAGTTTATTAGAAATTTTTTCATTCGTTGAAATGCGGACCTAGCTTATTCTATACGAGCACGTATTTCGACCTCCTGGTCAAGATCGTTTGTTATCCAGCAACCAAGATACTGGAATCTTTATACTGGTTCTATATGTTTTTATAGATACGAATATTAATGCCGACATTTGGACATCTCTGGTTATGACATTCAAAAGTCGTTGTAAACCCTCAGCACTGTCCGCAATAATGACGGTGTCGTCTGCGTATCTTAAGTTGTTTACGTATTCTCCGTTGATTTTTATTCCTTCTTCAATATTTTCGACGCACTTTGAAAGATCTTTTCGGAGTATATATTAAATAACAGTGAAGAAAGAACACAGCCCTGACGAACTCCTCTTTTTATTAGCAATTCTGCTGTCAGACGATTGTCTATTTTGATAGACGCCATTTGATTCAAATATAGTTTTTTAATAAGTGCTACAGTGTTATGGTCTATACCATGTTGTGTAAGGGTTTCTATGAGTTCTGTGTGTTTTACTCGATCAAACGCTTTTTCGTAGTCGATAAAATAGAGAAACACGTCTTTTCGCTGATCCTGGCATTTTTGTAGTAATATCTGGAGGCCAAATAAAGCCTCCCTTGTACCAAGTCCCATACGAAATCCAAATTGGTTGTCGCTCAGGTTTCTTTTCGTTCATGTACAATTGTAAGTAAAATTTTCAGAAAATGGCTCATCAGGCTAATTAATCTGAACTGTGAGCATCTATTTGCTTTATTGTTCTCGGATATAGGTGTAAATATCGATCTAAGCCATTCTTCTGGTAAGATTCCAGTGGTATATATTTTGTTAAATAATAGTGTTACCGTCTGAAAATTTATATACATTACTGAATAAAAAAAAGCTTATTTTCTGTACTTTAAAATAGTTTTTTGTAAAATATTCTAGAACTAACGGTAACCAAGATATGCTTCGTCAAAGTGTGATGCTTGCAACCATTTGTATATACTTCAATTTACAAGAAAAGAAGTTAAAAGAAATTTAAATAAATGGCCGTAATAGCAAAAATCGTTAAAAGTATAAAACTTTGAAGTATCGTACTTTGTTTAAAATTAGTCGTAGAATTTATATGGGAGTCAATCTGCACAATCATTACATAGATAATGCTATAGGTAAGTGAGAGCAGAAAAAGAAACAATTAGGTATATAGGTAAATGGGGCATCGTTTGCTGTATATAAACAACATTTGACCTGTAATAGGAGTATAGTAAATGAAGGATTAAATCAATATTTTAATGAAAATGTATATTTTTATTTTTACATATGTATAAAAAAAGTTGAATGCAAAAAAATTTTTTACACAAACTCTGCAGTAAAATTCACTGTTTATTTTGTTATTAAAATAAAAATACAATACCCAGCAACATAATTCAATATAATAATACAATACAAATTAAAATGCAATATTCATAAGTATTTAAAAATGACCATATACATAACTTACTCACGCATATATTTAATTTATCATGATAATATTCATAAAAAAATAATAATATTAATTAATATTAAACATATTTACAAAAAAAACATTTTTATTCTCGAGAGAGAAAGAGAGAGAAAATATATCTTCTGTCTCTTTTTTTTACCTATATCTTACCTAATCTTACCAAAATCTAAAGATTTTGCCGATTCACTCCCATTACGTCATTAACTAACAATAACTGCCACAAAATAACTAAGGCAACAATGACGTCATGGCAATTGTGGATTAAATTTAGGGATGAAAAATTAAGAGTTCATTTCAAATGTGTAGTAGAATTACAGTATATCACGGTTGCTAAGTATAACTGCAATACTAATTAAATAACTTTATTATGCTTTATTGTATGAGTTATTAAATAAAATAATTTTATATTTTTGGCTCTCCTGAAAAGTTACACTTTTGTATTTGCGTCATCTACCGGGGCAGCGAATATACTCTTTCTTTATATATGCTTTATATATTGAACAGAGTGTCCCAAATAACTGGTCTAATTTAGATAAGATAGATCTGAAGATAACTTAGATAGATCTAAAGATACAGAATAAAACCAATTTTTTTAATTACTCCAAAGCGGTTTAAAAGTTTTTTTTATGAAAATTTATGTGTTAGAAAAACTTGACAGTAAAACCGAAGCAGCCAAAATATTTTATTCGTGATATTTCTAGATGTATAGAGGGGATATTTGATTAAAAACGGGACTTTAATAGAATGAAATATCTATTTTACAAATTTTTTGTCTTAATGTTTGTTTGTAAAATAATTAATTGTCAAGAAACGACCACTTTTTTATTAATTAAGAGCACTATTAAATTTTTACAAATTTTAAGTTTGTTATTAACTTTCGATTAGAAACAGAAAATATATTAATTTCTTTTAAAAGTGTTTAAAATGACCTCTCCCTTTCCTTTATTCAAGATTGTACATAAGCTTTTTGTCCATGCAAGATTAAATAATAACATAAAATAATCAAAAGTTAGAACTTCCAAATGTTCTTCATCTAAAGATGCCCATCTCCTTACCATGTTGGCGACCACGTTGGCCCATCTTATTCTATTCACTGCAGCTCGAAATAGATCCAGTCCATTTTTTAAGATTGGCCAGTCAAGATATAGGGCCTCTTTTGCCCTCAGTCTCGCTTTTCAGAATCAACTGAATAAGTCAGTATTTATTATAACGCATAATGTGACCAAAGTAAGTTAATGTTTACGTTTTTATAATTTACAAATGTCCACTTTTTGTCATTGATTTCTTTGTGTTCCACCTAAACCTTTCTGACAAAGGCTATAGCGGAATAAGATGGTAAAATCTGTACTTGACTGGATTTTTAATTTAAGATTATGTACTTAAAAGTACATGTAAAAGTACATATTTAGAAACCCCTTTAGAAAATATTTAACTCCCTAGGTGACCCCTGGGGTGCCCTATCTGAAATATGTGTTTTATTCGAGAAAAAAAGTACCTAAGCGATCCTGTGCTTTAAAAAATCTAAAAAAAATTGACAGACATACATTTTACTGCCCAAAAATTATCTATTTTATTCATATTTTTCGGATCAAAATTAAGATCAAGAAAAATATTTGAATTTTTCAAAAAGTTTTAGGTTATGTAGGTAATTTTTGCGAATTTCCTAATCATTATTTTTCGTGTATTTTTTTCCGGTCTGTAAATAACAAGGTTGGATTTTTCATTTTCGCTAAGGAAAATCCTCAAATTTCGAAAAAAACCTATTTTTTTATTTTCCCATGTTTAAACACATAACCTCATTTAAATGTGATAAATAATGATTTTTGTTTTTGTGTCCCCTTTATTCGAGTGGTGATTTTCATTTAATTATTTTCATGCCCAAAAACACTCTAATTTTTTTCAGATTTTTTGGATCAAAATTGAGCTCAGGAAAATATTTGAGTTTTTTAAAGGATTTTTAGGTTATGTACCTACTTAATTTTTGGGACAATTTTAAATAATTAATTTTCGTGTATTTTTTCCATTCTTCTAAATGGGGGGGTTAGATTAAAATATATTTAATGTTTATAGTTACAATACAGTACTTTACGTTACAATAAAGTACTTTAGAATTCAAATGTAACATGTCTAGATACATAGATCGTTTTAAATTTTTATAGACTAAACAAGCAAGTTCGTCAGATACCGAAATCAAAACAATGTCACACGAAAGTGAATCTGTGGATATTAAATCATCTGCACCAATCCTACTTGAAACTCACACTGAGAAATCCGATGGAATTCCTTCCAGATCACCATCTGATGAACTTAGTAAACTAAGACCAGAGGACCGCTCAAGAAACCAGAGCTTTTCTATCAGAAATATGCAGGTGTCCAGAAGCCAAATGAAGGGTAAATATTTAAAATTATATATTATATCCGTATATTAGAAAAACTTATATACGGTTAATTCATCTTCTTTAGATGACCTCTATGTCTTGTAGGTACTGTTATTAGTAATGAATATAGTTTTTTTAATAATTGTGCATTTATTATGCATCTGCATCTGCATTTGAAAATTTTCACAGAAATATGAGAATTTAGTCACATTACCACCGATACAATATTATATAATGTTATACATTGAGCACTGTTTTTTTTTTTCAATTTTACATAACTTTACTTTTCTAGACTGACCACCCATATTTTAAATTATTTATAACACTCAAAATTCTAGAACAAGTCACGTTACAATAATGTGGGTAGATCGAGTAACTAATGTTTAGGTGTTAAAAAGAATGGAAAATGACAAGAAAGTTTTACATCCCAGTAAGATCTGATATTTGCACCCTAGCATCTACGAGATGCGATCGTTAAAAGTTGTTAAATCCCATACCTAGATCGTTTAGTAAATGGCGTTTTTTCTAGAAGATGAGAACTAATTTATTTATATTTTCTTCCTTAACCCTTAAATGCCCAACAATATGTAGGTTCCATGTATGCCCAAGGGTGTGTAAAAATGTCCATCTCGAAATTTACTTATTGAGTTGTTATAGATGTTAGAAATGGATTAAACTTATAGAATTATAGAATAGAATAGAAAACTAGAATTTTCTGCTTATTAAACACAGCATTGTTATGGCACAAATGGAACACCGCACTTTTGTAGTGTGCGGTCTATCGTCAGATTTATCTTTATTTGCGTCTTTATGTTTTTGCCCCAAAATACTCTCCATTGCAACTAGAAGATGAAGATGCAACTCCTTCAGATTCTCAGCCCTTCGTTGAACAAGAGCCTTTATTATTTCGAAGGAGGAAGAGAACCATTCTATTACGTTTTTTATATTCCATTGTGAGTGATCAAGTGTAAGTAAAGAAAATGCGTTCAAGGAAGCAATGTCTGTCTAATTATGTAAATAATGAGAACACCTTTGAATAACTGTTCTGATGAGACCTATTAGGTCGAAATACGTATCAAAAGATACAAAGGCGTTGTTTGCGTGAAATCAAATATTTGCTGTCTTTTCACTTTATTCGGATATACTCTGTACGAATACTAGAAACCAATTCGCTTAGTTGAAAAGACGTGTTGTGGAATGCAAATTTTAGATTCCCTACGTCTCTTTTAACACCTTTATCAACGTCTGTTTTGCTTTGCATATTTTAGAAATCACAGATTAAAGCGGAAATCTGAATTGTGTTTCGAAACTATTTTACGGTTTTAATGTAAATAATGTTGACAAAGGCCACCTTTGCGTAGGTCTCTTGGAACTGTATTTCCTCGCCATTGGGTCTATTGTATCGACTCTGCCTTTGGTCCAAGTAATAATAGAATCATATCAAAATTATTCTTGGCATCGTTGCTCACTCACTCACTCACATGTGGTCACCATGTAGTGTAGATAAGAAAATTAGTATTTTTGTGGGCGTTATCCTAGGAACATTAGAGAGAAAGGTAACTGGTAGAGTACCGGACTGGAAATCCGTAAAAGCGTATATATTTGAGTATAATTTCCTATCTGGTTTTCTTTTAATCACGTCAGGTATATGTTTGCTGTTTTGTTGCATTGTATCAACCATGAGTTAGATCCAAGTTGTCATTCTGAGAACCATCAATTTCAAAATTTTCGTTGTGGGGATCTGGTAAAATACAATCTTCTATTTCGCTTACCTAAGAATCATTATCGTCATCCTCAATGTCTAAATGACTAGCACTATTCTGTATTTTCTCTATTTCTAATTGTAACTCACTTTATCACAAATACTTGCTCATTTTGAATCAATTGCGTTCACTACTTCCTAGGACAATATATAATCAAGCACTAACAACTAATAGCTCCTACGCATTCCTACAAAGTAACAAACAGAAGCGCAAGATGTGCGCGACAACTGCAATTCTAACGGAGACGAGTCCAATTCCTTTGAAAGGGAAGGCATTATATAGAAATCTTTAGTAATAAGTTTTACCAAGGGTGGACATTTTGTATCCACTCACATTTAACTCAAGATATTACTTTTATTTTTAAAAATATCGGTAAAATCAAATTTTCATTCGATCTCTCTCTTCAATACTGACCCCCGGAGGAAGTGTAGTGATCATCGTGATATGTATTGTTTTCCTCGAAAGATCTCTGTCTCTGGTAATTTCTTTTAACTCATGCATAGGTCTTTTGCATATGCTTGTAATTTGATCGATCCATCTTCCTCGTGGTCTTCGGTCTTGTACTTTTCCTTGGATAATAAGTCTTTCCATGTTTTTTGTGTCTGCTCTCATAACATGAGACAAAAGTATTTTAATTTTTGGAGATGCACTTTGCTGGATAGCCCTTTGCTTATTTTTATCTCATTTAAAATTGAAATATTTGTCCTGTGGTCGGTTCACGGAATTCGTAACATTCTTCTCCAACATAATATTTCAGTGACATCTATCTTTATTCCTTTTACCTGTCGTATGGTCCAATATTCACATCCGTATGTCAGTATTGGGAATATTAAGCAGTTGATCAACCTCATTTTTGGAGTGAGAAAAATTTGAGAGTCCTTCCATATTTTGGCCATCTTTAGTACGGCGACTTTTGCTAGATCACATCTACGTTTTATTTCTTCCTATAGTGACCCTGTATTTGTAATCAATAATCCCAGATATAAATATAAGCTCACAACCTCAAACCAGTCAATCGTGGTTATGTGTGCATGATTGCTATGTAGTTTATCCACTATCATCATCTTAGTCTATGATGTGTTTAACTTAACCGTAGACCAAATATTTTACTTTCGTTTTCAATCAGTCAGTTAACATTCGATAAATATGTTAAAATAGAATACGTTTTAGGCGGACCTTTTTTATCCACCGTTTAAGGGTTAATAGTCAATACCAACAAAACTAGTACCTAGATTATACGATGTAGAGTTCATACTTTGATGATATAAAGTTTCAATGTGAAATTACTTTTAAAGTTATATTTCATTTTAAGATATATATTTTACTGCTTCATTTATCCACTAATATATTTTTTAGAATACAGAGAAGCCTTTAGGCTGTTTGACAAAGACGGCGATGGCAGTATAACAAAAGAGGAATTGGGCAGAGTGATGAGGTCGTTGGGACAATTTGCTCGTACTGAAGAACTTAAACAGATGCTTCAAGAAATCGATGTCGATGGTAATAATAATCATGCTATAATAATATACTAACTTTTAATAACTTTTTAAATAATTTAAGTTATTTGTGGTTCTTCACACTTAAGTTTCAAATCGATTAATCGATTAAAATGATGGATTTTTTAAAAAAGTCTTTTTCTAGGTGATGGTAATGTTAGTTTTGAAGAATTTGTAGATATAGCTTGGTCGGCAAGCTCAGGACGTGATCCGAATCACACTATATCTTTGGAGGAAGAAGAAAAAGAGCTAAGAGATGCCTTCCGTGTATTTGATAAACACAACAGAGGCTATATCTGCTCTTCAGACCTCCGAGCCGTTTTGCATTGTCTTGGAGAAGACTTATCTGAAGAAGAAAGTGAGTATATATAGTCAAATAATCTTATTACAATAGCCTCTAGTTGGTTGTGTGTCTTTTTATGTAAATTTTACAGTAGTGTAACTATTAATTATTTTATTATAAAACCCAATGGCATTAGATGTGCACTAATAAATATGAAATGTATGCAAAATGTAAATAAGTTCGACTGTGGTCATTGAATAGTTTACACCCTTACATAATATCTAATAGCTAATTTTCTGAATTCTTCCCCGTTTAAACACACATTCTGTCAAAGTGTCGTTAATTACCAGTTGCGGACCAAGAATAGATTGATTAAAATTAAATAATCAAAATAAAATAAATGTATTTTACAAATGTAAAAAATGGAAATTATAGAAAGTTTAGTATTAAGTTTTTTTGAATAAAATAGATTATGTTCTTAATAACGAAAATAAGTTAAAGTTAATAAGGTAAAGGTTAAAAATATCCATTTTATTTTAAATCTATTTATTTATTTAATTTATATATTAAATAATGATAAACAGTAACACGATTAATATTTGGTGGAAGCAACATTTTTGTCAGTACAACTTTGTAATATTCTGTACATAGATAGCACTAATCGCCTCATGTTATATTCAACAAGCTCCTCCTGTACCTGCTCAATTGCTTCCCAGTGTTCAATTATATTTCGTAGCCTAAGGTATCTTTTATTTAATTTCTTGGTTAACTCAGCTCACAAATTTTCGATGAGGTTAAAGTCTGGACTCCGTTAAGGTCACGGAAGAACATTAACATGAGGTTGTTCCAACTATTTTTAAACAATTCTACTCGTATGCACCGAGTAATTGTTATGTTGGAAGATGCAGTTGTTATGCGTGAAGTGATAGCAATCAATATAATCCAGTGAATCTCTGGATCCCTGATGGCAACATTATGCCCTCAAGAATATGTTTGTAATATAATTCTGTTAATTTTTCTTTTATATGAAAAAAACGCCCGTATCTTCAGATCCATTCCCATAAATTGACCGAGAATCCTCCACTATTTCTTAAATGATAAGTATTTCGTTCATCAAACCTATGATTTCTCGGCCTATAAACCCTATTCGACCATTGCTATATGATTAAAGCAATTTTCCCTCGCCAATATTATTCCAAAAGCTATCTTCATGGTTTATGAATTTATTACAAACTGCAACTCGTCTCCTCTTGTGATCCTCAGTTCAAAAGATTTCCTTGTAGCTGCCCAATTTATTAATCCACTTGCTTTTGCTTTTACATGCAGTGCGAAACGCTAGCTTTTTGCTAGCGTTTTGCACTGCATGTAAAAGTGCATGCATTTTTAAGTTGAAAATTATTCCATGACCGCAGCTGTACAAATTTTCTTATTAAAATACTTCTTCTTCTTATTATATAGACATGACTGTCTGTTTTTCAATGTGCCTCCAGTAAGTTGTCATTCCATCGTTTTCGTGGTCTTCCTACTGATCGTCTTCCTATTGGGGAACCGTCTTTTGCCTTCTTTACTACTCTATTTGTTGTGATTCTGCTTATATGATCGTTTCATTGTACTCTTCTATTTCTTACCCAGTTTTTTATGTTCTCCACCTTCCATCTACGTTTCTGCTGTTTCTTTTTTGTCCTCTCTGTGTCAGGTCTTGTTTCTGCTGCGTATGTCATTATTGTTCTGATGACTGTTTTGAAAATTCTGCCTTTCGTTTCTTTCCCGATATTTTTATTTTTCCATATTGTTTTATTTAGGCAGCCTGCGTCTCTATTTGCTCTATTTACTTGATATTCCACTTCGGTTTCGAGTTTTCCGTAGCTAAATAATCTGATGCCAAGATATTTAAACTTCATCACTTGTTCTATTATCTGATCTTCCAGCTCCAATTTACATCTTAGTAAATCTACTGTTGTAACCATGCGTTTTGTCTTTTTTGAGGAAATTAACATGTTAAATTTTCTGGCGGTTATATTAAATTGGTGCAGCATATGTTGTAAATCATATTCACTTTGGAAAAGTAGTATTGCATCGTTTGCATAGCAGATTATTTGAAGTGGTTTTTCTCCCATTTGGTATCCTTTTTAGTTCTTATTTTTTTTATTATTTCAACAATAATCAGGTTAAACAATAGAGGACTCAGGGAATCTCCCTGTCTTACTCCATTGCCGATTAGCCCATAGGGTCGGTTAGTTCTTCTTCTAATTTTACTTTTATTGTTTTGTTTGGTAGATATTTTCGATCGTTTTGATGATTCCTAGAGGTATTTCTCTTGCATACAGTAAGTGGATAACGTCTTTTTAATTTGATCCGGTCAAATGTCTTTGTAAGGTCCACGAAACATATGCCGGTTTGTTGTGTTCTAATGATTTCTCTTGCACTTGCCTTAATCAGGATTGTTGTCATCCGACTATTTTTATTGAAACTGTATTTCATGGTTATTTCACGCATTTAACACATACACCTTGGACTTTTTGATTTTCTAATATTAAACAGTAACAATTTATGACTTACATCAAAATTAGTACAACACATAATCGTCTTCATGTCCTTTAAACTCTTCCACCAACACCTTTGTCTTCTGGGAAAAAAAGGGTGTCATCCGAAGTAGGTCGGTAATAGAGCGTAGTTTCATCACAATTGTGCACGTACACTGCTTCATAATTTTTAATTATTAAAGGTACACCTTCGTTATCTATGTATTCGTGGCAAATACATAAGCATCTTTTGCTTCTCTAGCAATTTGTTTGAAGGAAACTTTTAAACGATTTTTCCATCTGCATTTGTCTCATCGAGGTTCACATTATCCAAGTTTTCGGCTGTCTCTTCAGCTTTTTCTTTTAAAACTGGACCGCTGAGAGCAACATGTAAGACCCTCTTCTCAGTTAACTACTCAGCTAATGCCTGTTTGACGTTTGAATGTTCTGATGAATGACACTTTTCATTTTTGGGTAAATTTTGAACCAGCTCGCCAATCATTGATGAAACTGTCTTGTTTTTTTTACAGTTTGCTCACCTTATAATTAGCTTATTAAATTTCAAACTTTTTCGATTTACATTTGACTGCACTTGAATTGTTTCACGTATTCAATTAAAATATACATTAACTTTTTCTTTTAAAGTAAGATCCTTTAGATCCCTGGACAATAGAAATTTTTGGACAAATGAAAAGTTCTTTACGGCCTGTAAATGTTTCGGGAAAAGGTTGAAATAATACTGATAACAAAGTAATTAAGTATTTTTCATTGACATACCCTAATAAACCGGATATCATTTACATTTTTAGGGCATTGTACATATACAGTTAGTTATTACCCGAAAAATAATCTATTAAGTGATATTATTTTATTAAAAGTATTTCTATAAACGGATAAATTTATTATTATTATATTTCTATAATTCGTATTCTTGTAAGCAGGTTTGTCTGTATCTAAAAAGTATTTTACAATTAGCATTTGTTATATTTTAGACAAAATGTAAAGGGTTTTTTAGAGGTATAGAACATTAAAATGGAATAAAACAAAAATAATTGTTGTAGATTGAATGAAAATTGCCTTTATTCGAAAGAAAATATTTTGGCATCATAATTTAAATATGATTTCTGTCATATAACCGTCATGGCTAACTCTGACGTAGTCTAATCTAGAAGTTCAATTTTCGATCACTTTTTCCAATATTTGTCACCGTATATTGGCAACAATGCGGTGAATGTTGTCCTCCATGTAGTCAATCGTTTCATACATATCGGCGTAGACTAGCACCTTCACATATTCCCACATAAAATAGTCTAGGAGTGTCAAATCGCACGATCTTGGAGGCCAATTCAAGGTCCGAAACGTGAAACTACGCGGATACCTAACGTTCCCTTTAATCAATCAATTGTGGTACGAGTTGCTTGAATAAATACGGTTCAATGATTTTACCAGGTCATAAAGCACAACAAACAGTCGCACAATCGCTAAACAAAATTCACCTATGAAAATCGGCAATCTCGTTTTGGACCCACTCACCGAATCTACGAATCTACGCTTTGCTATATGCTACGCTCTACAGCAGCAACAAATTCTTCTCTACGCTCTATACGACGTGTCTGTGGATGCATATTATCATTTAGAGTAAACGTGGTGTAAAAAGGTTCCACGGGTCCACAATAATTTTAAAATGCTAAACCAAACCAAAGTCCAAACCTAACATAAGTCACTTGACAGCTGTCAAAATGTTTAACAGTTAAAAGTGTTACCAACTTACATTTCAATAAAAAAAAACATTCCTCTAAAAAACACCCTTTACATACACTGCACAAAATCAAGTTTTTTAATTATATTGACGCTCTTGGCTGTATGAGGCCAGTAATCCCAAATGCTTTTTGATTTTTAATGTCAGGACTTAATATTGATGATCTTTAAATTTTGTTTGCCAGTGTACCAATATTTATTTATTTTTGGTAGTATAAATGTTTTGTTTTTTTAGTTGAAGAAATGATTAAAGAAGTTGATGTAGATGGAGATGGACGAATAGACTTTTATGGTAAGAATATTCTCTATATGATTTAGGTTTATTATTATATTTTATATCTAAGATCAGAATAGCCATGATGATTGCCAACCTCCGTCGCGGAGATGGCACGTGAAGAAGAAGATTATATTTTTTGGTATTTTGGTGAAAAACAGATTATTAATTTTTGATTACATTATTACCAAAACGATGTGCAAAGACATCTGAATCAATTTAGTTGAAGAGCTAAATCTTACAACATAACGATTTTAACCTCTAAAACAATATGCATGAATATCAAATATACTTGCTTATCTTTACGTAGATACGTAGATACTCTACGTATCATAGATTAAGACCACTTCTCTTTAATATAATAATGGACGGGATAATACAAGCAGTACGTAAAGGTCATGGTCATGCGACAGAAGACTAGCTCCAAAGATTAACACACATCTTCAATACAACAACCAAGAAATACAATATAATAATATCAACAGAAAAACCAAATTTATGACAACATCTAAATACTTACTACGATGTAAAATCGACATTGATGGGAAAATAATAAAGCGGGAAACAAGGTTTAGATATCTGGGAATAGATATAACTAGTTACAGAGATGTTGAAGAAGAAGTATGACAACAAAGCTTAAAAGCAAGTAAAGCGACGGGATCTCTTAGTGACACAATCTGAAAGAAGAAACGCCTAAGATAAGATACAAAAACAAGAATCTATAAAGCTGCAATTAGACCTATATTAACATACACGGCAGAGACAAGACCTGACACATCTAAAACGAGACGACTACTAGAAGCAACAGAGATGAAAATACTTCGACGGATATCAAAGAAAAGTCTGTTTAATAGGGAAATAAGCGAAAACATAAAAAGATCATGCAATATAAAAGACATAAATGGATGGGTGACAAAGAAGAAACAGGAGTGGAACGAACACATTAGTAGAATGGCAGAGGGTAGGATAGTACGAATAGCACGAGAAAAGTCACCAAATGGACGAAGAAGTATGGCAGTCCAAGACAAAGATGGTTCGATAATTTACAATTTAGAAGGCTAATATTAAAGAAGAAACAGGCTTTAAAACCTACATACAAGGAGCAAGAAGGGGAAGAAAAAGAAGATCAAAGATACTTCTAAAATGCACGCTCGAAACAGATTATGTGAATTTTGAAGGAAGAAACGAATTTTTTTACGATATCGAGGCGGAAGTAGGGCAGTAAACAACAAAACAAGCAAAAATAGCACGATAGCTATAAGACCGGTCGTGACATATAGTGCAGAATCAAAAAACATAAGACCATAAAACAATTAAAATAATGGCACGTCGTAGGATTACTGGAACTGGACTTCTCGACAGACCAAGAATCGGTGGCGATGAACCCTCAGTAGGATATTGCAGCGTTGACTGTCCACGAAAGAGGTGAAGCGATAGCCCCATCACGAGATTCTAGGAAGGGGCATGTGTATAAAAATAAAACAGGCAAGTGGCCCAAAATCAAGAAGAAAATATTAAAGCACTCGAATAATTGTTCGAGGTTCGATCCTCTGCTTTAGAGAATATATCAGATTGAACTTATTATATACTGAATGTAGATGAGTCAAACACTGTAAAACATTTTTACAGTTAATGCTTACATATGGTAAAAGAAATCATTTCATATATATATATATATATATATATATATATATATATATATATATATATATATATATATATATATATATATATATATATATATATATTTTTAAACTTGAAGCAACACATTTTCTAAATAATGTATTAGACTAGATTTAAATTTAAAATATTATTTTTTTATTTTAGAATTCGTTAACGCTTTGGGCGAACCAGGCAATGAGGATAGCTACGATGATGACGATGACGATTACTTATCATTTTATAACTAAAAAACTTTAAGATATATAGTTTTTATGTACCTGTGTTTCAGAGAAATTCATCCGTAATCAAATAAGCTGCCTAATAAATAATTAATTAATCTAATTAAAAAAGTTTAAATAATTATATGCCTGCTACTAAAATCCTTTGTTTCTATAATTAAAAATATATAAAACTATCTTCATGTACCAATAAAATTTGTCTGCTGCTTCTAATGTGTAATTATTTACCTTTATTTTTATACAGACATTCTTGTATAGTATTTCTGTTAGAAATTTCACCTGGTCTTCGGCCATTAACAAATAAAATTAGGATATTCTCCTTCTTCCTCCCCCCGCGTACCTTTTGGGCGATTATACTTATAATTACACTTAGATTAATTAGATTTTGCATATTTATACTAAAAATTTCCTAAAAGCATAAACGTTAATTTATTTCAAATTGCGGATTTTAAATAATATATATCTAACCGTAGATAATGGTATGACTCAGTAACTGGAATTTTTTTTCAATATTTTAGTCTTCTATATTACCGATAGTAAAGTTTGTTTCACGAAAAATGGTTGAGTGCTTAATGGTTACCTGAGTTGATCCTATTGTGTATACAAAAGTCTCTCAATAAACTACCGACGTACACAGGGTCGCACTTCAGAAAGTTTGTTATTTAGTATATTCCATTGGTAGCTGTGTAATACACGATTATAAAAATTTATTAAATTATTTTAGATGGTATTTTCAGGTTAATCAAGTGAATATACTTGATAATTGAACACTTTTTAACATGAAGAAAGTAGTTTTTTGTTCTACGTGAATAATTGTAGTATATGGATCTAAATTCAGAAAGGTACTTTCCTTCACACTTTTTACAGGCTAAGGACTGTCAACAAAAAACTGGCGTGTTTAAAAGTTTTTGCTCTTCCTAATCGGATATCGTTAAAAATGTACAGTAATAATAGTTCTATTTACAGTATACATACAAACGAATAAATAATGTACAATAAAATAGATGAATTGAAAAAAAAAATATAGAAAAATATATACAAGTTAATATTTACAAAAAATACCCAAAATAACCAAAATATATTTATGAATTCCTAAATACCTAATTCTGTTTCGCTGTCGCTATCCTCTGCAAGATTAATAACAATTAGTTTAATTATGTGATTCAAAGTAACATATGAATTTTCTACGTTCATTACATGGCCTACTGAATTTTTCCAACTTTCTGGGGAGATATCATCAACACATTTCCTTATTAATTCGACTACACTACCACTTAAAGTCGGAGAAACATTTTGTGACCTAACATCTGACTTTAGTTGGTGCTAGAAGATGCTCTATGGGATTAAATAAACAATAGTAGGGCGGAAGCCGTAACACTGTATGTCACATGTCCTCGGCCAATGCGTCACAAACATATTTTTTAAATAACTTTCTTCAAAATATATATCGTTTTCTAACAGGTAGTTTTGAATTTCAATTTTCGTGTTATTTACACTTGGAGACTTATGTAATTGACGAATGTGGTAACTTGCATTGTCCATTACTATCACACTATTTTGAGGATGGTTAGGTATAAGACAATTCTTAAACCATTGCTCAAAAAGCTCTGCCGTTGTATTCTCATGTAGTCCACGCAGGAGTCTTTAATGTTCTTTGCAGAAAGCCATAAGGCATTTGGGACCCAACCATTTTCTGATCCTGCATGTAAAATTGATAGTCTCTTCCCTTTGTTTGATGGAGCTTTTGTTTGACACCTGTTGGAAGAATCGGACCATCCTTTGGCTGGTGTTTCATAAGTGTCAAACCATGTCTCGTCCATATAAATTATTGGTCGATCTTCTGTACGGTACTTTCTTATGGAAGTTATATATTCAGTACGCCACTTTTGTAAACGATGGGACTCCATAAGCACTTGCCTTTTGTCAATTGTACGATATCTGAATCCCATTTTAGACAAAATCCCCCAAAGACTAATGCGGCTACAGTTTATTTGTGTATCATCATTAGTAAGGCGTTGTTTTAAAGCATCTAATGTAGGTATCCGTTGCTCTTCGTACATTGTGTAAATCTTTCGTCAATACATTTGGTAGAATCGGCATCCTTACGCTTCCTTCTTGACTTAATGGGATTTGATGTAAATCTTTTCACTGTGGTTAGAGGTGTTTCCGTTAAATCCGATATTTCACTGGCAGCAGTATTAGCAGTAAGTCCTCTTGTAAGTAAAGAACTATATATTGTTTTTACGATTTCTCTAGCGTCAGCAGATAAATGCTTTTTCTTTGCTGGAACACTGGAAGAAGCACCATCAATGTTTTTCCACGGACGCCACATAATGCTGTTTTATAGGTATAAATAGGTATAACACTGATAACACTTGTAACACTTTCAACTAAATGAAACAAAATGTATATTTAAAAATTTCTCATCGGTTTTATATACTTTTACAAATTATACAGAATAGAGGGAACCTGTATAATTATTCCAGGAAATACTTAACGATCAACAAATTTATTGTGGTCATTAAAAGATCAACCATTGATCAAATTTATGAAATAAAATGTATTCTAATCGTTTTTATAATTTTATGCGATTTTTTAATCGTTTTTATATTTCCAGGAATTTATGATATAAACAAGACAACGACACTTCACAGTAGCTTTAATTTTACCTGAATACTTACCTGTTCAACTAATGTTGACCAAGCTAGGGTACTTGCGGTCGGGTTTTATTGCAATCATTAAGCACTTAACCATTTTTCGTGAAATAAACTATACCTGTAGATACTACGTTATATTATTGTAGCAGGTAATCGATTATAATCCCGTATTAAAAGGGTGTTTTAAAAATTTATTTCGTGGGATAAATAGAATTGTCTTTTTGCAAATCATTTTGCATATGATCTCAAGAAAAAACCAAAAAAACACAAAAAACCTGCTTCGGTCACCAAAAAAATAAAAAAAATACTAACAAAAACCGGCTTCGGCCACCAAAAAAATTACCAAAACCCCCAAAACCCGGGTACGTAGGGCCCAACCCCTTGAGCACCAAGTCGCCGAACTGAGCCGGGACTCAGAGCGTGGACTTTAGTAAGCAATTTTAGTTCGCGGATAAGCTACCATAAGATAACAGGAATATAGCAGAGATACGCTGTCCTGAGTTTTTGCATTCGATTAGGAAACCATGTTGGGGTTCTATTACACAGGACCTCCACATGAAGAGCATCTGGCTGATTGTTGTGCCTGTTTATACACACCTTGCTCCAATGAATTCTTACACCAGATCGTAATACTTAGGGGTGAACACTTCTCATAGGCTGGGTTCAATTAAATTGCTTGCTTGAAATCATTTTGTTCTCAAAAGTGAAAGTGAAAACTTTAGCATGTTCAGTCGAGCTTGTTTAATTTTTTAACTATTTTGATTTTAAAATGCCGAAAATAAAGCCGCTTCTTAGATTAAACATTACAAAGAGGATATGGATATGGATATGGACAAAGTTTATTGTTCAGTTTGTGGCAAAATTGTAAGTCCTAAATATTTAATAAATTACAGTTAATAAAATGAGAAAAGTGTAATTAAATTTTTATATAATACCAAAACTCATTTATGTATATTTCATTATAAAATAAATATTTTAACTGTTAATAAAATATCATTAACTGTTAATGAATTTTCTTCTATTGATGCCTTTATTTTGACTATAAAGTAACCGGTTTTAACTGTATTTATATTAAAAATTCTATTACAGGTTGCTTGCGAAAAGAAATTTCAATTAGATCAACATGTCAAAACTGCGCCACATTTAGCCAAAAAAAAAAAAACAAAACTAGAGTTGTTTGTTTGTTTGTAAGACTTGTGCCAATCATTTATGTATTTAAATATACCGCTTATTCCTTGCGTAGTCGTCTTTATAGTATCAATCCGGTTCTGAGCTGTACATTTTTCTTTGAGCAGTATTTGTTTCTACGATTGGTAGGTCGCTAACCTTACCAATCACCCTCCACATTTTATCCGGGTTTGGCACCGGCTGTGGTAACCGCAGAGCTACTCAATCCACCCCGCAATCACTCCAGGCGGTGTTTTAGCCATTTAGAAAAATTGATGATAAGACACTATGGGACAGAGCTAGAAGTTCAGACATACGATGTAGATGCAAGGTGAACACTAAGAATTGGGTAAGAAATAGAAGAGTAGAATGGAAAGATCATATAAGCCGAATGACAATAAATAGAGTAGTAAAGACAGCAAGGGACGGTTCCCCAATAGGAAGACGATCAGTAGGAAGAGCACGAAAACGATAAAACAACAACTTACTGGAGGCACATTGAAAAACAGAGAGAGTAATGTCTATATAAAAAGAAGAAGAAGAAATATACTGCTATCAAAATTATTCAATAAAAAATTAACTTCTTTTTTAAGAAATATTGTAACTTGAATATTCCAAGTGAAATGACTCTAAAGAGAAACATGCCAACTCGCTGTACTCGTCAGTAATAGATAATATAAAAACTAATATTAGTGACAAATACTTCTACGTGTGTGTTGACAAAACCACTGATATGTCAGGAAGATATACCGCTCATTTAATGATTGGTGTTCTAAGCGATCAGATCTTACCAAAATCATATTTAATTTCATGCAAGCAATTAAAAACTCTGCAACAATACCACGTTATGTACAAGAAGAAATATCAAATTTTTTTCTTCCTGCAGTTGTTCCTAGCTATAAATTATTGCTTTTTTTATCCAATGCTGCACCAATCTGGCCAATGCAGGACAAAATTTTAAAATATTTTATTACTTAATACACGTTACTTGTTTAGCATATGGAATGAACAGAGTTGCTGAAGAAATTAGGAAAGAGTTTCCTTTTGTAAACTACCTGATATCAAGAACGAAAAAAGTATTCCTCAAATCTCCTATAATAATAAAATTCGACTTTATAAAGAAATGCTTCCAAACAATCCACTTACACCAGAACCCATTCTAACACTATGGGAAACATGTCTGGA